TGGGTCGAGGGGGGGGGGGGTGGGATAATAAGTGCATTGAGAGTCGCATCGCATAAAAACATCAGCTAAATGTCAAGTAGTAGTTGCAGTAGAAATGGATTTCCAGCAGACATAATGGGTCATTCATATGTTGCAGTATTAGCTGACCTCTGTAGCTACAAAAATAATGGATATGTTTGTGTTGTAAGTACATACTTCTAAGGTACACCAGCCTTTTACTTGAGAAATTAGCTTTTGGACTTGCTCAGGCACTTAATGTTAATTAATTATAGCTTGATTATTTGCACAAAGTAGCATGATGGAACCCAATTTCACTACTGAACAGATGTCGCCATTTTTGCCAAGTCTCCTCCTAACATGAGAAACTGGCAATTTATTAAGAAATATTAAGGTGTTTCTTTATTTATTTACATGGTGTTGACTTTGATTTAGTGTTTAATTTAAACATGTTTAAAAATATATATTATTTTAATAAAACGAATGGAATGTTTTTGAATGAGATAAACCAACTATGTCACTTCCTGGAGGATGATGTCATTGCTTTTGTTAGTTAAAGGGATTTTACAAGACTAACAAGAAAGTGGCATTGGGGACACAGGAAAAACTGATAGGCTGATTATGAATTTGAACAATATTTCCAAAAAAACGTGATTTGTTTAATATATATATATATATATATATTAGGATTAGGAATGACCCTGCTTTTGTAGTTAGGTAGTGACTTGGGACTGTAACATCTGAGTTGTTTTGCTCTAACATGTTACACATGATATGCCAAAGCAAAATACATCAAGTACATGGGATAAATAAAACAGTGAGACAGGTGGGAGTCGAGCTAATGACCCTGTATGGGATAGAGTTCTCCACATTCATAGACAGTGTGGAGCTGTTTTCAGCACCATGGAGAGCGTTACGGGCTGAAACTAATGATCAGACACACCATTCTTTCTGCCTTGCATCTATCTATCTATCATCTATCTATCTATCTATCTATCTATCTGTGTGTGTGTCTGTCTGTCTGTCTGTCTGTCTATCTATCTATAATGTTTATCTATACAATTATGGTATAAAAAAAAAACTGACAGCTGTGGTTGTCAGAACTTTACTGTAAAAACATGTTGTTTGATGTTTCAAGCATTTTGCTGACTGCATCATTTTAGTTCCTAACTGTATATGTCATGAAATGATAACCTATTTTAGCTATTAATATCTTTTGTTACTTTTCAGTAAAAAGTACAGTAAATGTTAAATGTACAAAACAATAACTCCAGTTGTCCAATTGAAAGCCATATGATGACTTCAAATTCATAAACATTAGCTTCTCCAACAACTATGACAAATAAAAATAAGAAAGAAATGTGGAGGTTTACGCACAAAAAGAATTCTGGGAAAGTCCTGTTTCCCATATATATGGTGGTTGATATTTTTTACTAATAAAATGTTAAAAAAATTACAGTAAACATTTATACAGCAAAAAAAATGTAAATGATGTTTTACCATATATGGTGAGGTAAACCACCTAACCATATTTTTCAGACATTTTTGTAGTATATATATTAATTTATGCATCTATCTATCTATCTATCTATCTATCT